CCAGTTACAATTTACGTCACATTATCTATGAGCATATGATATTTTTAAATTTATGACCTTTAACATTTGTTTGTTTGTCTAGTCAGGCGATATTTGACAAACCATACTGCATACTATGGCGTCGGCTTTGTATGATGTATGGTGATATTTCTGTTCATTTCATGTCAATTTCTGATAAAGATGAATGTGCCCGACATTTAACCCTTCTTTATTTAGCTATCTCATCGCAGTTTTAACTCGACAAACTTCATGGATCACTTCAGTATCACGTAGATCTAATTCCTGGTCACTCATTCTTCTTCTATATTAGGAAATTATTATTTATGTAGATTGTTACATTGATATCTATATCAGTTCAATTTAGACCCACTCTTCGATAATGACACTGAACTAAATTGACTATATTTGACATGTTTGTCAGGTGGAGTATACAGACGAATTGTTCAATTGCACAACAGATTTCACTTAAAACATAGACATTTGTATATTTGATTGATTATTATTATGTGTTTATTTCAGATCATAAAAAATACATAGCAAAATGAGAATTAATTGAAATGTACAGTGTTGTTGTTACAAAGGGATTAGATTAAATGTGTAGTCTACTAATAAAGCTAAATGTCTTTTCCCGAAGAATTTCATCAAAAGATCTAATATAAAGATTAACAAACAATGTCCTATTACTCTGTACAACAGAATGTGAATACCCAGATAATTTAAGAAACACATGCGAGTGTGTTCTCCTAATAGAATTAAAATCAACAGCTAAGGACGCAAATTTAAAATCGCGAATATTCGCGTTGCCTCTCGCATAGAAGAGACGAATGTCAACATTGTCATTTAGGTCACTAGTGTTCAAGTGTCCCAGATAATTATATACAGTGACATAATCAAGTAGTCTACCACTTAAATAAATTAATACATTTTTAACCTTTGAAAACGAGGCTGAAACAACATACATACGTTTTTTTCTCATTAAAAAGATAGAGTTAAATTACTGTACGCAAGTATCAACAAATTATTGTTGACCATACGCTCTTGTACTGAATACTACAATATCGTCAGCGTAAAATAAATGATTCATTCTCCGACTCCCTATTAAACAACCAAATGGAAAGGGCGTTAGTTCATTACTGAGGTTATCAATATAAACTGTAAAAAATATAGGTGAAGAGATCCCACCCTGTTTCACACCGTTGGTCGAATAGTCTGTCATAAATAAATATACTCTCTCTCTTCACTTATACCAGTCTGGTCAGTACACCAATGCTAGATAAGATATATACCAAATATAAGATCAATTTTAAAATGTTATTCAGCTATTAATAATTATTATAATTCAATATGATGGCAAACATATAGACCATTAAGGTACTTATTCATGAACTTAGGGGGCCATATGCAACAACTAACTCAGATTGCCAAGACTTCAGAAGTGTGAATAATGTAGCACTACTGAATGAAGCATTTAATTAGCATTGACGGGTTGCACGATTCCAGTGTCATTTTTGAAGCATGTCCAGTGGTCAAATGAAAGGCACACTGGGCTATGCAGTTTCTATATTTAATTTCTATATATAACATTATCTTCCTCATGCATTATTTCCCCGCTTCTATGATGTCTCGCCATGTATACTAGTGACCAACTGAACATCATAATTGTATTGAAATGTATTTCACAAATGTTTGCATAAACATTGTCGGACATCGATTGACAGCTTATGCTAGCCCTCTGTTTGCGTCTGCTTGCAGTACATAAATGAATTGACAGCTCACCTAAAATACTATCTGTTCTGTTGACAGCTTTCTGTGTATCATTATTGAGATGACAGCATATCTTATCGATCAATTGCTGATCTATTGTCAGCCAACAGCAGCAGTTGTTGTGGAGTGGACGTTCGATTTATACACTATGTCAAATTTTGGCTTTAGCAAGCAAGTTTGCCGTGATATTGAACGCAAAATCTCTTCACCAGCGAGGTGGTATATCAATCATTAATGTTAAACTTAATTGTCAGTACAGAAGTCAAACTGCAATTCTTTAGACTTCCGACTGTGGTAACCACTTATATGAGAACCCAAATACTTCAGGATTCTGTTTTGGACAACTAGAAGAATATGCCATTTCCGCGGAATAGGTGGGAATAATTTGAATATATATCAAAGTGTTTTATCTGTTTGCACTCATATATTTGGGAATAATATTAATAAAGAAATATAACATAACTCACAACAATTACACACATTTCCTAAAAGAAGTGGTTTATATACATTTATATGTAGTAGTATAAAATAGTATATCCATAGTGAATACTTGAATACATAGGCGACCAATTTCCATATAAAAATGATTTCTAACCTAAAAGATGAATGATGGAAATGTTGTTCAAACTATCTGCACAAGTGTGGGGAAACCCACTCATTCTTGTTCGTATATTAATACATTGACATAAGCACTGTTCAATTATCATCTAATACAAATTAACAAACGAGAATGCAGCATTTCAATAATGTTGACCCATGTCTAGATGTTTTACAAGGTGTGATAATGTTTATTCCCAGATATACTTCATAACCATGTAAACATTTTGATTTATCAAAGTCAATGTAGTGCCATCAGTATAACAACAAGCAGCAATCACAGATTATAACAGCATGTCTTCTAAATATGTTTTAGATATGTTTTAAATAAAAACTTCACCACAAATACTTTATGGCATAAAAGCATTGTTGTTATCACGATGTGAGTCAGTCGTGTCTGTTCTGTCAATTTACACAGCTGTGCTTTCAGGACATTGATGCGCAAATTTACATTGATAATTTGCTATGGTATTATTTTGTAGTAATATCAACCTATAGTGTAGTATGAGCGGGATATAACAATTTGGTATCAGTTATTAATTGTATATGAATTCAATAAAATATACCAATTTGACATCCATTAGTTATTTGTGGAAACCGCATGAAGCAATTTTTAAATAGCTTGGACCATACATTGTTGATGGCAGTTATATTCGCATAATCAATCATTCCAAAAAAGCGTAGTGAACAAATACATCTTTTTCTATTGGCTCCCGTTTGATGTTTCCGATTACAAAAGTATTTAAGCATATCGTTTGACGTATTTCCAGTTACAATACCAGGACGCGGCAGATATTTGTATATTGCTCGAAGTGAGATACAGTTTTACTAAAGATGCGTTTAACCTGTTTAGTATTGGTAGCACTGGTGTGTGTAAGTATGATGAAATTGTTTGCACGTATCTGTTGATCGACTTATTTAGCTGATTACTAGCGAATGGCTGTGTTACGTCTGTCATCGTTTAGGCAGGCGAGGTCCTGGACGGAACTCGACTCAGTGATTTGGAACTAATTACGATATAACCGTCGCTATCCGGACTATTAATTCTGACAGTTGGTATTCGCAGTTACTAATGTAGTGAACGATTAATCAAAAGATATGACGTGTTCAGTACTTAGTGTGATTGGCTTTATGATTGAAGGTTACGCCCTAGAGTCTTTAATCTGCTTTGTAATTGGTTAAGGTTTTGAAAATGAATAAAGTTGTTTTAGATGGTCTTGGCGAAAACACTACGACAGACGCACTCTATGGGCAGTCTTGACGCAGTCTTGGGACAGAGTCTTGGGTCAGCCTTGTGATAGTCTTGGGGATTTTTCCCTAGGGCGCTGTGTCTTACAGAGTGCTCGACTGACCGAGTAAGACGAGAGTTGAAACGTATTTTGTTGTATGCGTCTATTTGACTGTAAAGTTTAAGTGACTTTCCCGATCCCGTACCTCAAGGGGACGCGATAGAGAGACAAGACGAGATTCCCCCCTGTGGAGAACCCAGAGCAAAAGAATATTCCCCCTAATGTTACATTATTCCCATAATGATGTACAACAATGTCACAAACACTATATTTATATTTATATTGCAGGTGATTGTTGTCGAATCAGGTAAGACGTATACATAATTTGTATCCATTCTCTCAATTAATATGTATTAAATCCGTGGGGGAGTGTTCTGAAATGTAAAGAAAATGAGTCATATGTACGGCCTCATATCGCTTTTGGCCATGCCGACTTCGCCAATTATTTTGGTCGGGCGGAAGCGTCAGGTGAGCATTATAAGACTACCACTTTGGTGGAAAAGTACTGTTTTCAATATTTGTGCTATACACCCAACTCACAATTATATGCTCATGTCATATTTATAGCTCAGTAGTGATCGTAATCCGAAACTGATGTGAATACAGACGTGTTAGAATACATTTCAAAAACAATCGCCAGAATTCGAATGCATTGGAGAAAATTGAAATGTTAACGTCTAGTGCAAACTAGTGTTTTACTAGTATTACCTGTAATTCGCGTTAAATATTCATACCGTGTAATCCATACTGTTAAATATTTTACATAATAATTCCAGAACCCAATAAAGCTATACGAACGATTTCGGAGTGGGTAATATGCATCTTTAATTCAATAAAAATTTGCTAAAAAATAATAATTTTCGGCTTTGCAAATTATTATTTTTTATATAATAAACTAGTTTATCATATACCTCGTATTGCCCGGCCTCGTAACGCTATAGGAATCCCGATGCGCGAGCCATGCAATAATTGTCCATATCACGCCCAGGCCCCGTTTACCATATTTTGTAAACGCGTCTATTTCCTGGAACTACTTTCTGTTTACAAACAACGCGCTTCAATAACGGCTGACGATATTATTCTTTGGATGGGAAATATACTGAAAGACCAGTTGGACTCATTATTACCCTGACGAAAGCCGGCATTCAACCGCAACCAATCATAAATATAACCGGTCACAAAAACGTGTCAAGTTTACAGCACTACGATACTCGCATTCAGCAGGCATCGGTGTTGCTGGATACACCCAGCGACACCGATGCCAGCTTACTGTGACGATACTGTCTCTCAACGGAAGATCATCGGCGCATTTCAGATATTCTTAGTTGAGCTACGCCAGAATCTGGAACTGTAAACCAAACTGCTTCTTGTCAAGCAATTGTTCCTCGTTCACCGACTACGGTTTTTAACAACTGTGAAATCAACATGTCTCTGTCTGTGGCTACAACATCAGCTCCAAGAAAACGTCAGTTGTCGGACGGTCAGTAAATGACCAACTTAACTGGACTGTAGTGTTCATTCTTAAGAAAGAAAGTTTATAATGAGTTCGTATTTATTACAGTTAAAATCTTGTTATACATTTACGTTCTCTTGCTGTTTCATTAAAACGTAATTTGCGGATATATTTGGTGACATTCCCTTGTCTATAATTTGTGTGAGAGATGTTGATGCGTTTGAGTCGTTTAGAATCCTCCGTATAAATCCGCGCCAGTAAAAAAGCCCGAAATCCGGATGAAATCGATGTGATATGTTTTCTTTTGGGCCAGACGAGCGAAAAATAACATAACTAAAGACTTTTTCATATAAGGTATTTGATAAAACCTTTATGGACTGGATACAGAAAGTAGTTCCAGGAAATAGACGCGTTTGCCAAATATGGTAAACGGGGCCAGGGCGTGATATGGAAAATTATTGCATGGCTCGCGCATCGGGATTCCCATAGCGTTACAAGGCCGGGCAATACGAGGTATATGATAAAAACACAAAGGTTCATGGGTAGACGCTTGTTTGTAAACAATGACACGCTATGACCATCTGACGCATGCTCAGGTGACGACTCTCCGCTTTAACATTTATTATTTATAACATTAATTGTAAACAATTTAAATGCGGTTTTCTATATATTGTCCGCCACCTTGAAACAATAGAAAATACACGTGGTATGTTCTTCTAATATCACATGCAAAGAGTATATTTCAAGAAAATGATCAATAACACCAATTACATTGAAGCTGACTAGTTTACCTCATGCGTGATCGCGTCAGTATGCGAATGTTTAATCAAAATCATTTGAGTTGCGTGAAATGAGTTTCAAAAATTGTTTTTTTAAAAAATGGCGTCATGTAACTTTACTACATCATGCAACACTCATAACTGCATGTGATAAACATTTCAATTCATGTAATAATGCCTCACATGACTTTCTAATATCACAATTTGATTGGATGACAACCTTGAACAATGCGCTAATGGACAACCATTTGAAACCATGCGGGATTGCCCTGATTTTGTTCAATGAAAAATGTGCAAGTTTGGCACTGAGAGTGAAAAACAATTATACATGCAAGGTGCTACAGGGCACAATGCCACGCCCGAATGTGCAGGTAAACTACAACCTGGTATGACCACAACGAGCTTATTGACTTACCATTCTCAAAATTGTTTTGGTATTTTAGTCAAAGTATATAAGAAGACCAATGCATGACTTGGTTATTAAACAAGCTATTATGTAACACTTTTCATGTACTAAAATACATGTCGAATTATATAAACCATCATTCAAAATTGCTCAAATTGTACTACCTGGTGGTAATGACGACACGGCATAAGAACTGAGTGCATTAAGTACTATGAACTGAATCTTTCTCTTACTGATTTGACTACGTATGTGGTGTACTTGTCAGTTGTTTTATTTTGTTCTTGTGGGTTGTTTTGTCAATTCTTGTGTTTTAGATCGACGGTTGGAAATATTATTTTCACTATGATGCAATGATCATGAACAATAATTGCCAAAACATAGTCACGTTCACAAATTATACATACAAAACAATATCTGTGTTATGATTTAGTATTACAACTCATTGATTAGAATTATCAATGTGCAAACATTGACTACGCGAACCACATATTTTGTAGAATAAAATAATCTTCAACAAACTCAAAACAGGCATTGGTTGTAATGTTTGATCTGTGTTCCAGTGTTACACTTTTAAATTCCTTCATATGTTTTATTGGTAGGTAAACAACCACACATTGTGTTAATACTAGCAGAGGATCTAGGGTGGAATGACGTAGGATGGCACAATGCGGATATCAAGATGCCTATCCTCAATCAACTCGCCGCTGATGGCGTCATATTCAACCAATCATACGTCCAGCCTGCGTGTACACCGTAAGTGACAACACCATTAATGTTACTGGAATTTAGTTATAAAATGTACAGTAAATTTCATTATCAACGTGTGTATATACTTACATCATATTATAAACGTCGGTTAATTGCTTCAGGTATAAATCTTGGATCTGTACAACATCGCAACGAATCATCCGTACGTCTGTCTAATTATTTGTGTATATATGTTTCACTCTTCAGATCAAGAGCTGCTCTACTTACGGGTTATTATCCGTTCAAAATTCAAAGACAGGTATTTTTTTGTTGGAACATAATTATCTGTATTCCACATTTTCTGTTTGTCTATGTCCTGGTGTATACTATCCATACATCGTTAGAACAAGGGTCATCGTGCCTGAAAATAGACGGCAAAAGGGTGACATAAAATAGCCTGAATAATGTTGAATTACCATGCTGTATATGTAGAAGACGTTTTCACACTATTCATTAGTAGATAGTTGGACTATAACTAGATATTTTATATGAAAGTTCATATTTAACACTAATTACTCGTTAGTCTTACGCTTGATGAAATATTTATGTTTTTGTTTTGTTTTTAAATTTCCATTTCTGTGTTTTCACTAAGACATGTTGATACATTCAGCCAAATTATTTGAATGAGTGAATTCAACAAAAAAATGATGGTGATGTATCGTTCGTATTCACCATATCTACAATCCCTGAAAAAAGTGAAGGAATATGATGAGTAAAACTCATTTGAGTGATAATTTTGATGTCAGAACTGGGATATATACTAATTTGCATAACAACAGATGAATAGTGAAGCTGTTGAATTTATTAATTAAATAGTTTTATCATTTGTTTTGTGACCAATGTTCGACTGGTAGGCATCTGAAAATGTTCTTTAATATTGAAAATACATGAAAATACACAAATAAATGTCAATTTTTATCACATTTTCATTTTCGATTTATTATAGAATAATAAATACATCTATGGATTCTATAAAGTATAAACACGTGGCATCCTTTTGTTTTTTCTTGTTATTTACAGCATCAAATGCTGCTCAACCTTGAAGCTGACGGGCTTTCATTAGATCTTAAGACGTTGCCAGAAATGTTGAAAGATGTGGGGTATCTAACTCACCTAGTGGGAAAGTAAGTAGATTGCAGAACACATCAGTTGAAAAGTTTGGGTAATGCACAAGTGTACAATTGCAATTGCTAAATCAAAATACAAAATCACTTCAATTGACATATCTGTTCAATCTTCTGCTAGTTAAATGTGTAGCTATTACCACATAGGAATCTCAATGATAATATTAATAATAATGATCCAAACCTTATTATAATTCTAAATGTTAATTGTTGTAAGTTTCTAAGGCAAAATGGCATATGACTAATTAAACTGCTTCTCCAAACGTTAATGCACTAAGCTAGGTGCTTCTGAAGAAAAAGAGAATCCCACCCGACGACAAAAGTCAATCGACCACTAAGATTATATTGCCATCTTGAACCGATTTAAAAGACCGCATTGTTAATGTCAAAAGCTAAACAAATGATGCATAAAAAATCTCTTAAATCTCTTACCCAATGGGAAATATGTAATGGGGCTCTTTCATTTGTAGAACATTCAAAAGGACAGCCAAACTACGTGGCCAATCATTAGATGTTTCACAAATTTCAATAGACTCGGTACATAACTGTTACAAACCAAATTGAAGATCAATGTGGTAAGCAATTCTGAAAGGAAGATTTGACGACCACTGTCACAATCCTTGGTAGATGATATAAGAATAGTGATAATACAATTATTTCAGATTGTGCTAAACCCTGTTACCAGTTCATCAGTTCAATCAATAATATGTGACACGTTTCTATTCGTAGGTGGCATTTAGGATTCTGTAAGGAAGAGTATCTTCCAAATAAACGTGGTTTTGACTCTTTTTATGGTTGGCTGACATTGGGAACTACCCTATATTCTAAAGAGAATATAATTGGTAAGTACAATAAAGTATGTGAAAAATAGTATTGAACTGCGAACTATAATATGCAACTGTTGTAAAGTCGGAGCAAATTCACAATCTTCAAAAATACAATAGCGAAACAGTGTTTGTTTTTAACAAGTATTGAGTCAAAACGTCAAAGTCCAAAATATAATTTTCCAATGTGTTTCGTCATTTTTAATTAGTTTCACTTCCACAATTGTAGCACTGTTGGCTTACAGTACGTTTTTTTCTTCATAAATTCTATCAAGAATTCTGACATTTTTTTATTAGATCTTATTCTCTCATTGTTATAACATGGTCATATTCTACTAAGAGAGATTTTGTAAGGGTATATTTGGATGCCAATATAGTGCATATATTGTTCTATCACATCTTCAGTTCTTTCTTTGAAGATTAATTTGTATGAAGTGTTTGATTGGGAATTCATTTTCTCCTTTCAGCTCCGGGGTATGATTTCCGCGACAACACCGGAGTGGTACAAGAAAGTGACACTTATCTTCCAGTGAGTATCAGTGTTTTGTCTTCTTGGTTACAAACTTTGGTCACGGCGACGAATTTATATAACACGTGGTTTGCTAATGTACAACTACAAAAAGTCAAACTTGCTTCATACCTTGATTTTAAGCTCCCGGATGTTGTCAGCTCCCGGAATGAGTATAACAATGTCAGCACCGAACCTATCCAATCTAAAATCTAAACCAATTTAATCTGTTTCAACCCGCTCCAAATCGGGAATTTCTCATTGCAATCATCTATCTTTAGTCCAAACACGCTCTACGTAGCATCTTTTAGTCTCCAACCATACATTAAATTGTTTTAATACATTTGCTACTTTAAATTGACTTAGTTCATAATGCATTGCATAAAATGGAACATCACTGCACTATTTTACCATCAACTTAAGGTTGTTCGGCTTGATTATTTTTAACATTTGTTAGCAACGTTTGGGTAGCAACGCCAAAGAGCGCATATTTTGGCAATTTCGGGTTGTACAAGAATATATAAAAAAAATTACTTTCTCTTAATTTGTCTTGTGATACATTTTAAATTGTACTGACGTCTTATTTTTGCTTCTCTAAAGTTCATGCTAGCTGAAAGAGCAGTAGATATAGTAATGGGACATTACAAGGAATATCCACTGTTTCTGGAATTCAGTATGGCCTTATCTGGAAAGTTTCTTGAGGTAACTCACTTATTATTTTGGTATACAGTAGACTATCGACAATGGTACAACAATTAAGAATTAGATATACTAGAATAAATTAAGCAATTTTGGACAACCCGCCACAGAAGACAATAGAGATAAACATTCCAATAATAGACATTTGAGATAAACTTTACAATTCACCACTGAAGACAATAGAGATAAACTTTTCAATCCACCACAGAAGACAATAGAGATAAACTTTACAATCCACCACAGAAACAATAGAGATAAACTTTACAACCCATCACAGAAGACAGCCCACCATAGAAGACAATAGAGATAAACTTTACAATCCACTAAAGACGACAATAGAGATAAACTGTTCAATCCACCACAGAAGACAATAGAGATAAACTTTACAACCCACCACAGAAGACAATAGAGATAAACTTTTCAATTCACCACAGAAGACACTAGAGATCAACTTTTCAATCCACCACAGAAGACAATAGAGATAAACTTTACAATCCACCACAGAAACAATAGAGATAAACTTTACAACCCACCACAGAAGATTTTGAAGATAAACTTTTCAGTTCACCACAGAAGACAATAGAGATAAACTTTACAATCCACCACAAAAACAATAGAGATAAACTTTACAACCCACCACAGAAGACAATAGAGATAAACTTTTCAATCCACCACAGAAGACAATAGAGATAAACTTTACAATCCATCACAGAAACAATAGAGATAAACTTTTCAATCCACCACAGAAGACAATAGAGATCAACTTTTCAATCCACCACAGAAGACAATAGAGATAAACTTTACAATCCACCACAGAAACAATAGAGATAAACTTTACAACCCACCACAGAAGATTTTGAAGATAAACTTTTCAGTTCACCACAGAAGACAATAGAGATAAACTTTACAATCCACCACAGAAACAATAGAGATAAACTTTACAACCCACCACAGAAGACAATAGAGATAAACTTTTCAATCCACCACAGAAGACAATAGAGATAAACTTTACAAT